TTTCACAAAGGGCCAGATGGGTTTAGATAGCCTATTTGACTTAATGAATGAATTAATCATTCTAAAATGACTTTTTATATTTACTCTGGTTATCTTTGTCCAATATTACAATTTGCCTGGTGACATTTAGGATTGGCAATCAAGCAAAATCAGAAGAAATCTCTGAGGAGCAAATATGTTTTTCTCAGCACTGTACATTCTTTTTCTCTCTCAAATGCCTGATTGTAATAAAATTAGGATGCCCAGGTCTCCATCTTTGCCTGCCAATTCGCTTACATCAAACACAACATTGACTCTTTTCCCTGCTGATGGTGGGCCAACTTCTAGGATGCCTTCTGTCGGCTCTTTGGGTCTCTGCCCTGCTAATCCCCAGTACCCAAGGCTTGACTACCAGGGCTCGGCAGCATTTTTGACATCTGTGGCTGAGGCAACCAATTTTCTATTGTCATCAGGGGCTGAATAATGCACTGCAATAAATATACTGCAGTTTACTACAGGAATAATAACCATTCTCATGTTAATTAATAACAAGAGTAATGTTTAAAACTCCAATGAAGCAGGAAATAAAACTGAGATCAGTTTCTGCCAGGACATCAATCTACTCTAATGCTATTTTTGTACTGGGTTTTCTTGGAACAAACATCATTTACTGTAATCTCCAGTAACCAAAATCATGCATCATGTTAGATACAAATACAAAATACACATAAATACAGTAACTTAAGAAATCATTACAAATGTTCCATGTTTTTACTGTTTCCAAAGGTTTTAAGACTTATTTCTTGCTTATTACTGACTTAAAAAAATAGCATCTTTCCAGACTTTTGCTGAAATTTAAATATATTTTGCTAATGACAGATAATATCAATTTAAAGATAAAACTATTTGTTCCAGATAGGATTATAAACTCAAGTAAGCACACTCATTTAAAAAAATTGTTTGTTTGCATGATAATACATTATAATAAATTCCTTCTGTTGTAACTCACAAGCTTGCCACAGTAAACTTGTGAAAGTGCAATAAATCACCATAATGACTTTGTCAGGGAAGTAATAAATCTTGCATGAAATTAATTTGGTTAAACAGCTCCTTAACTTGTTTTATATTTGATCATTATTCTTATGAATTTGACACAAACGTGGCTGACTGACACCAGCTTGACCTCTTGTAACGGTCTGCTAAAACTGTGAACTAAGATTTTTCTGCCAGAAAAAAATGGAAAACCATGTGCAATGTGTATGAGCTGCAGCGTTTTCAAAAGGGAAATGGATGTGTTTCCAGAAAGAATATTCATGTAAGCGTTAGAGAGTGAGCGATTACCCACGAGGCATTTTGCACAGCAGCTTTTAAGCCAAACATCCAGCTCTTAGTCAATTGATTTATTGAAACTGGACAAGCACAAACAGGGAATGGATTTGATTCTGGACACTAAAAATGCTTTCAGCATTTTGTTAATGGTAGTCTTGCCCCAAAGCAATCCAGCATTGTTCTCTAGTTCTCAGTAAAGAGATCTATAATACACAGGTCTCTTTATAGATCTTCACTCTCATTTACTAAACTCATTAACTAAACTTCACTCTCATTTTACAAAATATTAAATCTGAGACCAAACATTTATTTGGAAAATATTTACTGAGGTAACAGTTGATAAATCCAAACAGATTTCCTTTTGGCTTCCCCTGAAATGCACAGGAAGAGTCACATACATCTCAAACTGTAGAATGTAAAATTATGGCAATTTTTGAGTATTTTTTTTTTATTATTTATATCTCCATTGGGATAATTTGTCAGCACAAAGAAGCAAAGGGCGTTTAATGTTAGCTTGGCATTCAGCTTGCTATTCATTCTCAACTAGTATTTATTACGTTCGTTATGCTGTGTTTCTGTGTTACATGATGATTTTAGGTTTTAAGGCACGAGTCAACAAAAAACATATCAGATTGAACATGAAGCCTATGCAGATTTTCCCCATACTCCAATACCTTACCCGATTACAAAAAAGCAACAGGAAGCACAAATAACACCTCTGGCTCAAATAAGTTTATATTAAAGTCATTCAGTTTATGTAAGCGTCTACCAGATTATGCCATAACAATTCAATAGTTTGGATAGAAAGCAACTACTTTGCCACACATTCTAAACTTGCTTAATTATTGAATTCCATTCTAATATTCAAAGACGCTGTGATCTAAACCATTTCATTGCACCTGCGTGTTTGGTGTCTCCTAGTTGATGAACCTCCTTTCACCTTTGTTATAAATTTTTGGCAGTGTCAAACAAGTTTACTTCCAGCATTATAGCTTCTAGTTGCAGCATGATACTGCCACCACAATGTTGGGAGAAATGTGTTTCAGTATGATGTGTATTGTTAGTTTTCCATGAGATGACTTCTGTAAGAAAATTGTTTCACTGTACCATGTTTAGGAGTATTCAGAATAAAGAAGGAGGACAATGGTGCACAATGCAAACCTCTGTGGCAATGTCAAGTCTTTTGCAGCCTTCAACACATTTCCATTCAAGACTCTTTCTATCTTTCCATAAACTCTGACCAAGTTCCCTTTGCTTGCTAAAGAAAAGCATTCACACACATTTGTCATGGAAACTTCAAAGTTCAGTTTCGATCTCATATCATTGAACAGTTGATCGCTGAAAAAAACTCTACGAAATACTTTCAGTTTGTGGTTTTAACATGACAAAATGTGAAGTTTAATGTTCATGAACATTTGTCATTATGGAGGACAGCAACTATCATCCAGAGAGCGAGACAGTCACTCAAACAATAATAAAAAGGTCACTGAAGCTGACCTAGCAGCATTCACAACAGGAGGTCTTGGAGAATGTTTCACTGCATTTACAGCTCAGGCATGTAGGCAGGTGAGCCGGACACCTCACACTGTGACCCTGCTGGTGTGTTTGGGTTATAAATAGAACTCCACTGCTGTGGCTGTCAACTGAATCAATCTGTCTAGATCCATGTATTGACCAACCTGCCTGCCTCTGCTTTGTGTTTCCCTGTATGACAGTGTGTCCTACACCCAGCCTCACACACCCTCTCTCTGCCAAAGCACAGCTCCTGTGGGCCTCAGGCTTTGGTTGTTGGCAGACAGAGAGAAGGGCAAAAACAAGCGCTGCTTTCTGAATAATTCTGCAACACTTTTCACACCAGTGAACTGTGAGTCAGCTGTCTGTGTTTATGTTTTGGGAAATTGCCTGTCCGGCTCCACACATCAGTGCACACAGCCAACACAAATACACAGATCCCAATAGTGATGCAGCTGCTTTCACACGTGCCTCTCGTGTCTGATCAGATGTAAAAAAAAAAAAAAAAAAAAAAAAAAAAAAAAAAAAAAAAAAAAACGCCCAGCTGACAAAACGACTCACCTCCAGCTGACAGAACCCGGCGCTGTTCTTGTTCCGCGCAGCTTTGTTCTTCAGGTAGATGGAAAACCATCTCCGCACTGTAAATTTACGCGTGCTTGTGTCCATGGCAACGATCAGACCCGCGCATCTATCCCATAATGATGAACATCTCCATGTAGGAGGCCGGGGGCTCCCCAAGACTGACGCGCAGTAACACACGGCTCTTCTTTTAGGCTCCCTGTTTGTCCCGCAGTTTCCCTGTTGGCGCATCCTCAAGGCAGCGGTCGCTCCGTGGTGCCTCCATTCTCTGCGCTCTCCGCTGGTGGAGCTCAGCTTCGGCGGGAGCCCAGCGACTGAAAGGGAGTTGTAAGAGAGCTGTTAATCCACGCAGCGGATTGATGACTGCTGCTCGGTTTAGGATTGCCCTGTGTGTTTTGCAGCAGGCTCGCTGCGTAAAAGGGTGCAGGGGTGGAGGTCACGAATAAATCCGTTCCGCTGAATCAGGAGTGCGTGCAGCTCCCTTTTCACGTCTCTACCTGTGCGTGTTTGTGTTAATCTTCCGCTCTTCTCTATATATCTCTCTCTTTCTGACTCTCTCTCACCCTCTGCGAAACAAGGGATTGTCACCAGTCACATTGTGCGCCACAGGGAAGCTCATCGACCCCTCCCCATTTGTCTCCCTCCCTTCCACCTCCTGTCTTTCCCAACAGCACACAGCAACAGCTGGTGAGGTCACATGGTGCAAACCTGCAACCTCTCCCTGGCTGCCTTTTCTCCTTTGCAGCATCCGCACACACAGATTTAGAAAGCATATTTTTATAACGAGACAGCAACATGCAAAAATACGACGGCATTAGAATTCAATACAAATTGTCGAGTGCAGCAGCCAATAATGATGACACAAATGAGGCCAGCAGTCACAAGGGAAACAGCATGATCTGTTCTGATCGCTAAGCATGTGTGCGTTTGTGTTGGAATTTGAATCTGTCACATCAGCAGCTTTTGCAGGGCTGCAGTGTTACATAACCTCTGAAAGAACCAGTGATACATGGCAGAGAGACCACGTTGATGGGAGCAGGGGGTAAATGAGGACTGCAGAGGACCCCAGATGCGTTTCTGGGGTTAACTGTCTGCAGCTGACCCAGGGTTAAATTTCTCTGAAGTTCACCTCAAACACTGGACAGGGCTGCAAAACACTTTAAAGTCCAGGACACATAAGTCACAGCAGGTTTTCACATGTCTGGGTGAATCTGGGTCACGGTTTGGTCACATCAGGTACAAGGTTTTTTGGGTCATTTTAGGACTATTGGAAAATGTAATCAAATGTGTTTAGTCAATCTGCTGTGGGCGGAGATTCAGGATTATGGACTGATGTCTTTGTCCTAGTGGGATTAAGGCTCTGTAAGGAGATCACAACATTAATATTTATACCCCACAGCCAGACTGTGAGACGGACAGCCTCAAATATACCAGTGTATCTATGCTGGATCACACTGCTAAAGGAAAAAAAACTGTTAACACTCTGTCACATAATTTTGTCAAATTCTCTTAGTGTTTTCCCAGTGAATTGTATTTATAAATTCCTATTTATTCTGCATTTAAAAACCATTGTAAAAAAACAAAAGAGTTGATGACACCCGTGAGAATCAAAATGATAGATTTATTAATATTAAAAATAAGAACTTACAGCATTGTGCAGTTGCTAATTTTAGGACATTTGACAGCAGATAATGTTATTTCACATCAAGCAATCAGTTTGCTACACTTAAAACATAACATGATAGAAAATATAATTAAAAATAATCACTTTTCATGAATAGATCTGTCTTCACAGGCAGTTCATATTTATTTAACCTTCTAGAGTATCATTTTATATACTTGGCAAAAATTTAAAAGGCAGAACAATCATCAGAAAGGTCAAATAAATGACAAAGAAGTTACAAAGAAAGGCACTTTAAAGTAAAGGCCATTTTCATCCCCATTGATCAAGCAATACCAGTTAACAAAATAAGAGAAAATACACAACAGAATCTGAATTGGATGTGTTTTAACAACAACAAATCACAAAGCTTTTGTTTTGGTTTTACTGGATGTAGGTGTTCAAAACAAAGGATCATAAAATTCTCACTGATAGAATTGTCTGTTGCAGTGCAAAACAAGTGTGATCCTCTTTTCCAGACTTGAATTACTTTATGCCATTTGGTGATAATAATTCAGGGCAAGAAAAAATCCCATGTGGAGTACATCAAGGCTCTAAGCTTGGGCTATTTTTCTTCAACATCTTTATGATTCCATTAGCTCAGACAATGGAGTATTATATTTTCCTCAGTATTCAGCAATATAAAGTTGCTGGTAACACATAATTTTATATGTTTATCAGAAATTATCAGGCTCTTCATGGATTCAGACCTGAATTCTCATAAACAAATAAAGTCTATCATCAAGGAAACCCAATAAATCCTTAAAAAAACATTTTCAATATAAAGGGTTTCCTGTGAAAATAGGACACAAAAACTGACTGTACTAAACTGAACATTTTAGTTTCCATGAGTGTTTTTGGGTTTTGTTTTTTTTTGCTGTACATGCAAACAGCCTTATGGTTTAAGCCAACTTGAATTCAAGCATTCCTCAAAATGTGCAATTAATTACATTTGTAAACCTGACAAACTCAAAATTGTTAAATGTGAATGCTAAACAGGGTAAAATTGCTTATTTATTAGTGTACATGCTAAATTAGAATCCATTTACAAAGAAAAACCAACTGTTTTTGTCCATAAAAAGGTAAAAGAATATATTTAGTGAGCTATAGCTCCCCAGTTTGAACATGTTTGCATTTAAGAAGCAGGTGGGTAATAAACTGGTATGTCAGGAGAACACACACTGAGGTCAGAGGATTTGTTTTGGTCCCACTTTCCTCTTGAAAGAGTATTAGTGGCAAAATGTTTCTCACAGTCTTGCAGAGTGAAGTCATCATCAAAACAGATCTCAATCTGTCCCAAAGTCTGGGCCTCAGAGTTCTGTCAACAAACAAACAGAAAAACAGTAAACATAATTATTGTCTAACAGAAGTTCCATAAACTTTACAAGCAGGAAAATACAAATATGCTGAATTGTTGAAAGAAAAAAAGCAATTTATACCGTTGATGGATGCACACATTGGATCTTAGGTTTCACGCCATAGAAATTTTCCATCGCTTGCTCAATATCAGAAAACTGCAAAAGTCACAGAAAATATTACTGTTATGACAGAATGTAGTTTCAAAAACTGGTTTTCATAAATCCAGTGCAAGAGATAAACTTACAGTGTAGTATTTGTCAGAGGGGATAATGTTAGCCTTCTGCAGCATGCTGCAATAAAACATTACAGATCTTCACTTAAACTGATGTTGGGTTTTACCAAAAAAAACATAAAATGAGCGAAACACCGGGCAACAAACATGGAGAGGAAACATAATTCCTATAAATCACCACAGTACAAAGATCTAGATACAGAAATGTTCAAAATGACAAAGCCTGTGTGTGAGGCCGGTGTGTCCATGCAGGTGTGTGTGAACGAGTGTGTAACTAACATTACCTGTTCAAATCCACCTTCTGATATAATTCCAGGGCCTTGCTGAAATACTTGTGTTGACTATTCAGCGAAGCAGCTTCTGCTGCACATGTTCCATGTTTAGACCACTCGTACTTCCTGTTGCAAAAGGAAATTCATTTAACTGATAAACCAAAAACTAAAACATGCAGATCAACTGAAAGTTAATACTATAACATTTTACCAGACGGCATTATCTCTTTTTCTTCAGTTTTGACAATAATATGGACATTTTAAGAACAAAACACTTTTTCTGATCAATTCAGTTTCATCCCATAAAACTAAATCTAATTGCAGTAAATACAAAGATGAACAAACTGCTGTGGCTCAACAAAACGGTTTTACAAGATTTTCAAAAGTGTCGCCACATCATACTTTCTAAGCATTTGAATACGTGCAAAACGAATAATCTCATTACATAAACAAAATCTTCCTTTTACAAAAACTGGACATCAAAAATATGTCTTGTGAGAAATTCATTTCAGTCCAGACTGTGAACCAGCTGACCGGCTTCCTTTTTGTTTTAATAGCGGTTGTCAAATGAATACAAGAAGCAGTAGCACATAGCAGCTCGCACTGTACAGGACGGGCTCGGTTAAATGATGTCATCATTTGATATATACATTTTTCACCAGTGTCAAAAAAATTCACCGGTATTACCATAAATACTGGTGCCAATAACCCGGTTTTACTAACGTAAAAGCAATAATATTATATATAAAAGCAATATTAAATGAACCTAAGGTTTGATTTAAAATCAATAACTGAAAGGATCTAGATGTTAACAAATGCAGTAAAATGTTCTCTTTTATTGTTTTTTAATGACTTTTAGGAGTAAAAATATAATAGTAGTAATGAAAAGAATAAATCTGTTAAATTAGCATAACAATAGTTTTACATGTTATAACCAAAACTAAACCCCACAAAACAGCAATTTCATTAAAAACATGCTGACTTAAAGGATGAGACATACCAGAAGTTAAAAGTAGAAGGGTGAAGCAGATCTGGCCAAACCTTCTTCATGTCTGGGATCAGATCCTGAGAAAAAAAAAAAAAAAACATACCAAAAATATTTACTTTATACATTAAAACAAGGTTTATTTTGAGTTTCAAAGGGAATGAAATATTAATTTATTCACCTTTTTGACATAGCTTCAGTCTTACACAACCAATATCTTAATATTCAAAGGAAATGTTTTGTTCCTGGGTTATCCCAGTTCTGTGCATCTGTAGTGTTATAAAGATTGACCAGAGAAATGCTATACCTCTATTTCAGTGGGGTTGAAATGCCAGGAAGAATTACAGAATTCCCCTTTATTAGGCCTGAAACACAGAGAGATTACAGTGAAAAATTACTTGCAAATTTAGCAAAATGAAGACATATTTGTCAAGGGTTTCCTTTTGAAGACACTTGAATCTGTCTAAATCTAAATCTAAATCTATGACAGTTCTATATATACCTTTGCATCCCTGTTGCTTTCATAAAATATTGTTTCAAACTAGGGAGCTTTGTTAGAGTGGAAAACACAGGCTACATGATCGTTTACATCTCATCTCCCAAAGGTAAAAGGACTTTCCAAAAACACATGAGGATGATATCTAAAATCCAGACTCTTACCACAGTCCATGTAGTGTCCAGTAAGTAACGTTGAGATGGCAATGCTCCGTCTGAAATGTGATAAACAAATATTAATATTTAACGTTTTTTTTTTTTTTTACAGTAAATAAGATAGCTCTTACTCTGGTAAGAGCTAAATCATTATACTGTATATATTTCTACTGATTTTCACTGAATCAAGAATAAGAAATTAAACTGTATCACACGTATTCTTGTGTGATACACTGCAGCAACATGAATCTCTGCAAAGCCCACCTAAACAGCACTAAACACCCTTCCTTTGATCAAACCGATCAAGATTCACAGCAAGTACACCGCTGCTGACATATCAAATTTACTTAAAATTGTGTCTGGTTTTATCACAAGACACAATAACAACAGAATATAAAACGTGACTGCACAATAAGCAGAAAAAAGTGCTGCCAACAAGCCTAAAAACAAGATGTGCAAATCATGCTGTAACTTGCATGTGAACGATGTTAAACCGCACTGCTGAGAAATTGTCTTGTGATTTTGTATCACGTGGTGTTATAAGGAAAACACCTGGATTAGATTTCCCCCAAACGGATCAGTGAGCATCACTTTTAGCACGACGATGCCCAAGACTCACTTGAATACAGCATTAATTCTGCACATGACTTTGATTTAATTTTTTTATACTTCTTTTAAAGCGACAGTGGATGAAAATCCTCTTCAAACTAAAAAATGGCTGAGATGAATCCTAGATTCAAAGGTCAGCATCCAAGCAACATAAACACAATACTTACTTTACTGTAGTCAGAGATATTGAACATGCGATACAATAGGTATTGTTGATAACTCCATTAATATCTCGCACACTGGAGTTTTGGTCTGTCTAAACATGTTTTTCTGCTCCTCCAAATCACTTAGTGATGTCAAAATCTATATGAATCATGTTTACCTTATAAGGTGTCTTAAGATGATATGTATTGTAAATAGTTGAAATTCACAGCAGATAAACAACCAAATCAATACTGAAATATTTTAATTTTATATTATTTCTCTTTTTAGTGAGAGTAAGTCTTGCATTTGACATTTTTCTAAAGTTATAAAGAAGCACCTCTTGTTGATGAATAAGAAAACAATAAATTAAAAAACTACTGAACATACTCTTGATTCTATATTCTAAATGATGGGTGCTAATAAAACAAATCAATAGATAAAAACAGAAACTCACAGAACAGAAGGTTTTGGGCCACTGCTGTGTCAGGATCAGTTTGGTCCATAAATTGCTGAAATGCAGACATTTCTAAGCTTCTTTCCAATATTATTTAGTTCAAATGATCACAGCACACATTTATTGAGAAACAGTTTTTGAAAATGTGAACAGAAAGCAACAAAAATAGTGACAGATGAGCACAATTAGTCATTTCTTTTACGTTTGTTCTTACATTGGTGAAGTAACGACAGCAGAGGACAAGGCTGCTGCCAGGCAGACCAGAAGAAGGAAGTGGAGACTCATGGCTGACCTAAAACAAAATGGGAAAATAAACTCAAAATATATTTGAGTTTGCTTTAAAACCACACCAACACAAAAAGTTAGGAACTTTTCAAACATAGTCTATGTAGTCTCTTTATACATAACATTGAGTCTCAGAGAATTTCCTTAAAAGAAACAGTTTCCTTAGATACACATATAACACAAATCATAGCTAAAAGGTCAGAGCTGGAATACAGTTATAAACAGGAACTTAACCCATCTTGTTTACGTAAGTGGGATTTCAGCTCAGTTCCTATTTTCTGGCGTGACCGTTTTTTTTTTACAAAGCTTGAACACAAGTACAGCAAATGTTAGAATTACGTAATGATCTTGTGTCCAGATTTCCTAACTTAAAATCTCGAAAAGATAAAACTACATACACGCTAATGCACATACATATTTTCAGGTTGTTTAATAATACCCAGAGACTGCATGGCTTCAACATCTTCAAATGCTTGTATGAGGTTGCCTCTAACAGGAAGGTAAATGCATTTCTGAAGGTGACCCTAAACTACATTTCAATATGACAGCCTAACAGCGTTGGTAAGTGGAAGAGACATGATCAGGATAAAAGATGATAATGCAGCCTAACTTATTTGTTTATGTGACAAATTTTAAGTATACAAACTGCACAAAAACATGACTTTCAAAAGGTTTCATGAACAGAAAAGCACATTGTGGTTCAATGCATCACTGATTGGAAACAGTCACGTAAAATCAAGATAAATGATAATATGCGCAGTGAGGAAGCTGGACCAGTGTGACAAAAATATTCACATTATTATTGTGAGAGCACAGCTTAAGTCACATGGCATTCAATGATAAATGTATTAAAACAAGTAGGACTTGTTTTAACACAAATGTTTCTTGTCACGAGTACTGATTCAATACAAATCTAATAACTAAAGCAATACTTTTCAACACTGTAAAACTGCATAGACAATGACTGTTCATGAAACTGTCTGTGGGATTTTTGTAAAAGTGTTTGGACCAGCCTGACGCCATGAGCACAAGGGCTGTAAAGAAATATCAGCTAAATGCATATTTAATCCAGACTGACTCAAAAACAACAGGACGATCTCTTAATCGTTAGAAAAGGAAGTACGGAACAAAATGCTGAAATCTAAAGCGCTTATTTTAGAAGAGAAAAAGTATTTGTGACAAACTTCACTCACCTTGTTGCAAATATGGAACATAAAGCAGTATAGCTGCTGAATGAGTCCTTCCTGCTTGATATCTCGGCTTAACGAGGTCACGTTTTGTTTAGTGGTTCGCCAACGAACAGTTTTGTTTACGTCGAACAGCACTGAACTACCGGCTTCGTCGGATCAGCCAATCGTAAGCGTCGGTCGTAACGACATCTTGCGTCATTACGTCTCTGCGTAGGGCCGATGCGTGGTTTAGTATGAGCGGTGTCCCGTTTGCTCCTCGGAACAGCGCCTAAACAACAACGTTTTCAACCAGATCTGGATCGATTATTTTATATATATATATATATATATATATATATATATATATATATATATATATATATATATATATATATATATATATATATATATATATATATATATATATAATATATATATATATATATATATATTGAGCTGACTGGATAGCTCAATACATAAGGCATCAGTATATCACCCGAGAGGGCAGGGTTCGAATCCAGTCTGGGTCCTTAGGCAAGACCCTTCAAGCTACTGCCTACCTCATACCATGAGAGATACTAAGTTGCATAACATGCCGGCTCAGACGTCGCCCGGCCAAACAAGGTCTGCGTCAGGTGTTGGGGAACCAGAGCACCTTGATGACAAATGGGCTACTGGAACAAGACGGAAATGGGCGAGAGATGAAAATGTGGATCTGTTGGAATGCTACTACTCAAGTAACCCTAGTGAGAGAGGTTACATGCAAAGACTGGGGAAGGAATGGTTACTTCGACATCCCCAGTCAACACTAAGCGCTAAACAACTAGTAGCTCAGTGTTCCAACATCCGCAAACGGCAACTGCTATCACAACTTGAGATTGACGAGATACAACACAAATGCTACGGCAAAAGGGAGGAACCCGGATGTCAGGACTGTGGGGACTTAACTACAAGTCCCCACCCAGTGAGGGGATACACGGCCCCAATGAGCGAAACAGAGCTGAACGAGACAGCTGCTGACCTGAGAGAGAGAATCATGACCCGAATGACAACCAGGCCTCCCCGGCGCCAATTACAAAGGCTGAGTGAAGTACCATCTGAAAGTCTCATTGAGAATGTGAATGCAGCATTGAGAACGATCCCTACCAACACCATAACAGAAACCAATGAGCTGATCTACAACTCAGCATCAGTGATCCTTGAGATACTTGGCTATAAGAGCAACCATGAGACCCAATACCCACCATGGAAAAGACGGTTAGAGGCTAAAATCAAGGTAACAAGGAGGGAAGTGAGCCAACTGTCAGAGCTCCACAAGGGTGCAATGAAAAGACCAGTACCCAGAAAGTACAGGCAGATGCCCATACCTGAAGCACTCGAGACTGCCAAACAGAGGCTCCAAGCCTTGTCCAGCCGCCTAAAGAGATACACAAGGGAGAATGAATCCAGAAGGATTAACCGGCTCTTCTCCACTCAACCAGCTAAGGTGTACTCTCAATGGCAGGGTAACAATAACAGAGCAGACCCACCAAGGCTGGAGACGGAACAATACTGGAAAGGCATATGGGAAAGGGAGGCGTCCCACAACAGCAATGCACAGTGGCTGATCTCTCTACGAGAGGACCACAGCAACCTCCCTGAGCAAGCCCCGGTAACCATCACTGTGACAGATGTCCAAGAAAGAGTCTCAGGTATGAAAAACTGGACAGCACCAGGGCCTGACATGATCCATGCCTACTGGCTAAAGAAACTCACTGCTCTCCATGAGCGAATGGCAGCCCAAATAAACCAGCTGCTACAAAGTGGGACTCACCCTGAATGGTTAACTGAAGGGCGGACAATCCTAATCCAGAAGGATCCATCAAAGGGTCCAGTCCCACCCAACTACCGACCAATAACCTGCCTCTCCACAACCTGGAAGCTCATGTCAGGCATCATAGCGGCCAAGATAAGCAAACACATGGATAAACACATGAGCACGGCACAGAAGGGTATCGGTGTAAATAGCAGAGGAGCCAAACACCAACTCCTCGTAGACCGCACAGTTGCCCGAGACTGCAAAACCCGACACACCAACCTGTGCATGGCTTGGATTGATTACAAGAAAGCCTATGACTCAATGCCGCATACTTGGATCATTGAATGCTTAGAGATGTATAACATCAACAGGACTCTGAGAGCCTTCATTGCAAACTCGATGAGGCTGTGGAAAACCACCCTTGAAGCCAACTGCAAACCACTTGCACAAGTGTCCATCAAATGTGGCATATACCAAGGAGATGCTCTGTCCCCGCTACTGTTCTGCATAGGCCTGAACCCCCTCAGCCAAGTTATCAACAAGACTGGCTACGGATACAGACTCAAAAATGGGGCCAATATCAGTCACCTACTCTACATGGATGACATCAAGCTGTACGCCAAGTGTGAGCGAGACATCGACTCACTGATCCACACCACCAGGATCTACAGCACTGACATTGGGATGTCATTCGGACTAGAGAAATGTGGTCGGCTGGTCACAAAGAGGGGGAAGGTCATCCACACAGAAGGGGTCTCACTCCCAGAAGGAACAATAGCAGACATAGAGGACAGTTACAAGTACCTAGGTATACCACAAGCAAATGGCAACCTCGATGAGGTCACAAGGAAAGGAGCCACAGCTAAATACCTCCAACGAATAAGGCAAGTCCTGAGAAGCCAGCTCAATGGCAAGAACAAAATCCGTGCGATAAACAGCTATGCCCTGCCAGTAATCAGATACCCTGCTGGAATAATTAGCTGGCCAAAGGAGGAGATAAAAGCCACAGATATTAAGACCAGAAAGCTACTAACAATGCATGGAGGGTTCCATCCCAAATCCAGCACCCTGAGACTGTACACGAGCCGCAAGGACGGAGGCAGAGGACTAGTGAGTGTGAGAACCACTGTCCAGGACGAAACAACTAAGATCCATAAATACATCAGGGACAAAGCCTCAACAGACAATGTGCTCAGTGAATGTCTCAGACAACAGGGAACGGAGGTTGAGGTGCCAGAGATACCATCATGGGAGGACAAACCCCTACATGGGATGTACCACCAGCAAATAACCCAAGTGGCTGATATCAGTAAATCCTACCAATGGCTGGAAAAAGCTGGACTCAAGGACAGCACAGAGGCCCTCATCCTGGCAGCCCAGGAACAGGCCCTAAACACCAGAGCAATAGAGGCCCAGATCTACACCAGACAAGACCCAAGGTGTAGGTTGTGCAAGGAGGCCCCTGAGACAGTCCAGCACATCACAGCAGGGTGCAAGATACTGGCAGGGAAAGCGTACATGGAGCGACATAACCAAGTGGCAGGCATAGTGTACAGAAACATCTGTGCAGAATATGGACTGGAAACCCCAAGATCAAAGTGGGAAACACCCCCAAAGGTGGTGGAGAACGCCAGAGCTAAGATCCTGTGGGACTTCCAGATCCAGACAGACAAAATGGTAATGGCGAACCAACCAGACATTGTCGTAGTGGATAAACATCAGAGGAAAGCCGTTGTGGTAGATGTAGCAATACCAAGTGATTGCAACATCAGGAAAAAGGAGCACGAGAAACTGGAGAAATACCAGGGCCTCAGGGAGGAACTGGAGAGGGCCTGGAAGGTGAAGACCACAGTGGTGCCTGTGGTCATCGGGGCCCTCGGGGCAGTAACCCCCAAACTGGAGCAATGGCTACAACAGATCCCAGGAACAACATCAGACATCTCAGTCCAGAAATGTGCAGTCCTTGGCACAGCCAAGATACTGCGCAGAACCCTCAAGCTCCCAGGCCTCTGGTAGAGGACCCGAGCTCAGAGGATAAGAACCACCCGCGGTGGGTGAGAAGGGAATTTTTATATATATATATATATATATATATATAATATATATATATATATATATATATATATATATATATATATATATATATATTGCAAACCCCTTTGCAAGTATGTTTAACTTTATGTAACACAACAGTTAAGTGTTTTATTTTTGCTGCCCTATATTTTAAATAGCAAAGATTAGATGTAATGGGTAAGACCATTTAAATTTGTAAAATAAAACCGAAAGTCCATCTGTATTTTGAGTTTCCTGTAATTTTTTATTTATTTATTTATTTATTTTTTACAGGAAAAGTCAATGCTTTGCTATAATTGTAAAACTCTGGCCTGCTATTAGCTATATTCTTTTCCTGTTGGGCACTCTTCCATTTGTCTACGTCATTCAGACATCACACACTCCTTCTAAAGCTGCCAAATGTTATCCCATGTTGTCCCCTCACATGATTTTGTTTCAGACGTGCAATCTGTTTAACAGCTCCTTCTCGATGTCAGGAATAGTCAGGTTGTAACTGTAGCGAGTTTTATAAATAGACCGTGACCAAAGATCAGCATGCGACGCAGCTTCTCAAGATGTTCTTTAATGCAGATGGAGAAAATTCTAAGTGCAAGAGCTTGATGCAGTGTGCCACGAGATCCAAAGATCCACATTAAAGAGATGTCAACTTAAATCTGAATAATATGAAAATGTTTTATATTAGTTTCCCATAAAATGGTGAAATTTTATGCTTTACCTAATAGAACTGTTATGCTTGGTAGCCCAACTTGAATCGCATTACATCTTGAAAAACATTATTGCAGAGATAAAAATTGATCATTTCTGCTAATCAAATAGCTTGCTGATTTTAGTGACTATGTCTCGAAGGATACTAGTTATATATAGGTAGTTCTCTCTCCTTATAAGGCTTCAGGGAGAGGCTGGTGGGGGGCGGCTGGAGTCGGGTGGTGGTTCTCTTGGCCTCTTACAGAACTTGGTTTAGGCTGACTCCCTGTGGATTCACGCTGATAACCGAAGTCGCTGAAAAGAAAATCTTAAGTGGTAAGAAAAACATTTTTAAACTATGCTTCACCTCTTACCTCTTCTGTATTGTTAGCTTTATAACCCATCTTCATTTCAAACCCATTAGCAGCAGGTGGGATCAGTGAGGTGGGACTAAAGAGAGCACAGCCAAAAGATGTTTCATGATCCTTTACTGCTGCTAATGATACTTCAGAGTGATGAATGAAAGAATACAGGTTTTATAAGTGGAATAAATGAGCAATGAAAGACACTCTGTCTTTCATTTATTGGACAGATGGTATATTTGGTCATCTGAGATGTACAGAATATCTTTGCATTTATTGCTGGTACCCATATTA